ACGCATACAGCGCCTGCGCGATCGTCCAGGAGCAGCTGGAGTGTTGCGCAGATGCTAGTACGCATGCGTGCACCGCGTGCATGCACGAGGACGCCGCCGGCCCCGTTCCAATCGAACCGGTTGGAACGGGGCGAGAAACCCACCCCTGATCTGCATCATAAATCACATCCACCAACGAGGTGCTGTAGCAGGCTATGAACTTTCGCACCTTACACATCTGTAGAAATTATGAGATCTGACTTTGGCTGAAGGTATGCATGGAATTCTCCCTCCCTTCAATGTCAACTTGATAATAGTCATGGAAATGCTTTACAAGTTGACAGTTGCATCTGAACAAATCACAAGACTTCTGGAATACTATCCTTTGGACAGATGAGACCAAAGTGGAGATGTTTGGCCATAATGCATAGTGCCACATTTGGTAAAAACCAAGCACAGCATATCAGCACATCTCATACCAACCACCAAGCACAGTGGTGGAGGAGTAATGAGTTGGGTTTATTTTGCAGCCACAGGATCTGGGTACCTTGCAGATTTGAGTCAACCATGAATTCCTATGTGTACCAAAGTATTCTGGAGTCAAATGTGAGGCTATCTGTCCCAACAGCTAAAGTGGGCAACATGGGTCAGGCAACAGGATGTTCCCAAACACACCATCAAATCTGCAACAGAATGGCTGAGAAAGCAAACAATCAAGCTTAAGAAAAACAGTTGTTGCTTTTCCAATGCAGCATTTGATGTCTGTCTCTGCATCTCCATTAACTGTCTCTATTACATTGGTTAATTGTTCTCACTGTTAGGAGGTTTCTCCTCAATTCCAGGTTGTTTTTCTCCTTGATTAGTGTCAGGCGTGCCTCCATCAATAACCAAGAAAGAAAACTCCCAACTCCATTGTTTGTGGAATTAAACATACTTTTACTGGTCATGAAAAGATAGCAGCAAAAGAAAAGCAAGATCTGAACACAAAAGGCATGAACATGTACACATCAAACATTTACCCAGCACCCTCCCCCCAATCACCCCCAACCCAATGGCCAATCTGCAACTCCCAAAAGTGTTGTGTGGGCTGCATTTTCAAAAATCATCATTCAGATGATATGCAGAGACAGTTGACCTTGACCAACTCCAAACACAGGCTATCAGCAGGCGCAGAACATGGTGAGAATCAACCACCCTTCTGATAACTCCTCCAGCACCATAGGTTTCCCATCCCAAATACCTGAAACTCCCTCCCTCCCTGTTTCTATGGCAGCCAATAGAAAGCAAGCGAAGTAGAGGCTGACATTTAATTTCCATCCATTGTTTCTTGTCCAGCCCTCTGGTACTTTGGAAAATAAATTGACCCCCTCTTCTTTGTGGCAGCCTCTCAAATACTGGGATACTGCTATCATGTCCACCCTAGTCATTCTTTTCTGCAGACTAGCCAAACCCAATCCTTGTTCTTCATATGTTTTAGTCTCCAGGCTTTTAATCGTCTTAGTTGCTCTTCTTTGCACTGTTTCCAAAGCCTCAACATCTTTTTTGTTGTGGTGGACAAAACTGCATGCAGTATTCCAGGTGTGGTTTTACTGAGGCTTTATAAAGTGGCACTAATACTTCATGTGATTTTGATTCTATGCCTCTGTTTATACCAAGGTCCCTCTTACAGTTACTGTTTTGGAGCCAGGTTTCACCTAATCTGTTCTTGTACCTTTAGTTTTTAATGCAAAATTTTACTTGACAAAATGTTTCTGTCCCAGTTTTCTCCTGTTTGTGTAAAGCAGTGTTTCTCAACCTTGGTGACTTTAAGTCCTGTGGACTTCAACTTCCAGAATCCCCCAGCCAGCATAGCTGGCTGGGGCATTCTGGGAGCTGAAGTCCACAGGACTTAAAGTCCCAAGGTTGAGAAACACTGGTTTAAAGCATACAGTAAGGTATGATAATTTTATTCAAGTAAGTTGAAAAATATCATAAAAATCTGTAAGAAAAACTAGAGTAGAATTAATGGTGTACACTCAGAAATAAAAGACATGAAGGAAAACATACAGCACTTACTGGGCAACCAGGGAAACACCCTTTGAGTGTGGGATAAAATCCAAATGTAAAGCATATTTTAGTATTCAGTCTGCCATTCAGGAAGCAGCAATGATGTAATGTCCCACACCCAGGTCTGGTGATAACCATGCCAGAACAGAAACACAATGTTCTCTTTAGAGAGGAAAGAAACTGAGCTAGTGAACAAACAGAAAAAGATTTCCTACTGAGTGCTACAGTTCCAAAAATACATAAAAAAGTTCTACTTTCTATCCCAAACATTCCTTCTCTGGGCGGATGAACAGCAAAAGCAGAACACCAAAAGAAAAGAAGATTTGACATATTGTTGTAAA